AAAGCGGGAAACCGAGGGCGGTCCCAGCGCGCGAATGCGAGTCTAGTACCTTTACACATTGCTCGTTCGCTAGTCACAGTTAATTACCAGACTTATCCGATTTACCCACTAGCTATCGAGATCACTGAGTTGACTAATGGCGAATGGGGTGAATTGCGCACTTGCCATGTTGTGCTGGAAACCCATGTTGGCTTCTCGTTTCTTTCCATCTCTACCTAACAAAACTCTAGCGCTATGTGCTGTCGAAGCCTTGCGACGGATGCGCAACTGCACATGAAGTGCCCGGCTTACAACAGTGGCTGTATCTATCAGTGAACCCAGTGGGTAAGCGAAAATAGTGCCACTCTATTGGATTGATATTCGCAAAAAGCAGTGCCGGGTTTGCGAACCCACTAGTTTCGTAAAAATCAATCTCTTGCGTTAAGTGTTCCTTCATACTATATTTCTATACCGCGGTCTGCGGAGCCTGCCGCGTGCACAGCTGCAGTCGCATAATATGCCCATACCATCACAACTTCGCGCTATTCCTCTCTATTTCCTGTGCACGATCGCATTTTTAGAGGATACGTATATATTTTGGAGTTTTCTTTCTCTTTTACCTCGTCTCATCATAGGTTTAATGATTCTTCAGTTGGTTAAATTTGGGTACGTTCTCAGTTTCATTCCTTGTTTCGCTTCAGATAGTGTCTACAGTCAATGCGAAGCGCTATTCGTCGTTTCACTCAAGGTACAAAACTTCTATGTCACATGTTTTTGTTGCGACGGCATTGGCATGCGCCGCAGCTTGCGGCACGCTGCGAAATAGTGTGAAGAAACCCAAGGCCACCGACTGGGTTCGTTGATGAATACAGCCACAGGTCGAAACAGACTGTAGATCACGCGCAAATAGAAACCAGTTGCTCAGTTGATAGCTTGAGTTTTGTGAGCTTCTGATTCTAAATGTCGCATTCATCCTGAAGCGACTTTTCAGAACCGCTACAGTGCTTGATCGTATTGCTGCTTTCGCTGATCGCGAGAAGTCCCATGTCACTGTTGGACGCACACATTACCAAACCGCTTCTCTAGTCACGATTGGTAAAAGAGCTGCTTTATGGGCACAGGAACTGCTTATGGCTTTCAAGCAGGTGAGTCTGTATCTATGCTGCTTACATTAGTCTATGGATCTCCATTGTTTAGCTCGAGCACTTCCATAACAACATGAAATTCCGTGGAATTAAGGGAGCCACAGGCACTCAAGATTCTTTTCTAACACTTTTTGGTGGGGACGAGGAAAAGGTTTGCTCTGCTTAGCACCTTATTTGGTCGCTCATATGCATTATCCTCTATTAAGGTCGAAGCTCTTGACGAGATGATCACAGAAAAAGCAGGTTTTGCTCACAAGTTCTTCATCTCTGGGCAGACTTACTCAAGGCAGCAGGTACAGTATCATGCGCCATAACAAATCTGTCTTACGTACCATCATGAATACAGGATGTTTATTTAATCTTTGCTCTATCTGCCATCGGTTCATCCGTGAAGAAGATTTGTACTGATATCAGAGTGCTGCAGGCTATGGGAGAGCTTTTAGAACCATTTGAAAAGGTATGATTGCATTTGATGAACTGCCTGTATACACTTCTCAGTAGGATCAAATCGGCTCTTCTGCTATGCCTTATAAGAAGAATCCAATGAAAAGCGAACGTTGCTGTTCTTTAGCGCGGAAGCTCATCCATATGCCACAGGTATTGCTCCTGATCCTTCTTTCTTTTGAAAGAGTGAAATAATTGAGGAAGCGCTAAGCATACTGAGTGACCAAGGTTTGGAGCGCACTTTGGATGACTCTGCTGGCCGTCGAATGCTGTTGCCAGATGCTTTGCTTACAGCTGAAGCAGTACTGACTACTTTGCAGGTTTGAAAGATTGAGGAGGATGGAAAACAGAACGCATTTGAGCAAATTCAGAATGTTTTCGAAGGTCTCACCGTGCAAACGGAAAACGTGGCTCGTGTAGTCCGAGAGGAGCTACCTTTTCTCGGACTCGAGAAAGCGATGATGTGGTTGACCGAAGAAGGTGTTGACAGACAACAGGTAATTTAGTTTGATCTTAAATGTACATTTGAGCTCCGCTGCGTAGAAACTAACTTTGGTGGAAAGGGCATACTCGTGAAATAATATTCAATAATTATAATGGATCAAGTTTGTTACGATTTTATTTGCTCTAACGTTTCGGCAATTATGCCATCCTCAGAAACCTGGAAGAAAGTCGTACACTGTTGTTATGTTATACTGTCAAATCTCTCCTCGTGACTAGTGTTCGATCTTTACAAGTGAACACATCAAGATCTTAGAACTGAAAGCAGCATACCATAATTTACACCGACAGCGCGACTATAGATGTTCAACTGCC